CATAGATGCGAAACCTTTTAAGTGCTTCGACCACTGCAAGGACTTCTAGTTCAAAACTAGTGTACTTTCTTTCATGGTCTGATGTCTTTTTTGACATGTAGAATACAGGGTGAAACTGATTGTCATGTATGGATTTTTGGAGTAGGACTGCACCCAAACCATCGATTGACGCGTCAGTGTGAATCTCAGTGGGAGAATTTTGGTTAAAAATACTTAAAACGGGTTGTTGGGAAAGTAAGTATTTTAATTTTTGAAATGCTGTCTGTTGTTCAGCATAAAATTGGAAAAGGGAGTCTTTACGAAGGAGGTCACTCAAAGGTTTTGCTATGGTCGAATATGAGGGCAAAAACTTTCTAAAATAGCCAGTAAGACCTAGAAATCGGCGAACGTCTTTAATATTTTTAAGATCAGGATAATTAATAACAGCTTTAGTTTTTGAAGGGGAAGGAAACAATCCACCGTTTTCTATAATATGGCCAAGAAACTCAATTGTATTATGTAAAAATTGACATTTTTAAAAATTTATTTCAAGTCCGTAATCACAAGCTACCTGTAGAACAATTTTTAGATATTCAAGAGCTTGGGACTCATTAGCAGCGGGAATAACGACATCATCCATATATGGGAGAACAATACTTTTCGAAATCAGATGTCGGAAAATGGCATTTATGTACCTCATAAAGGTAGAAGGACAAGTACTCAGTCCAAAAGGCATTCGTCTAAATTGATACTGACCATTGTGAGTAACAAAACTAGTAAATTTACGGCTCCTTTCATTTACCGCGACATGGAAAAATCCATTTTTTAGATCTAGAGTAGTAAATATTTTAGCATTTTGGAGACAATCTAAAATATCGTCAATTAAAGGAAGAGGATAGTTGTCTTTAATAAGTTTGCGATTTAAGCGTCTATAATCAATGCAAACTCTTGATTTCCCGTCTTTTTTCTTTACTACCACAACTTGACTAGCGTAAGGGGATGAACACGGCTCAACAATTTCATTTTTAACCCATTCATCAACTTGAGCGTCCACTATATCTCGTTCAGCAAATGACAAACGTCGGGGCTTATGAAATATCGGTTCGTCGTCGGTGAGAGCGATATCAAGCTCAATGTTTACAGTTTTTGCTTTTTTAGGCGTGTATGTCGATAACAGTTGTTCGACTTCAGCTCGATTATGTTGAGAAACATTTGGATCGATATCAAATGTGGGTGAACCGTCAGAAATCGTCATAATAAAATTTTCATTTTCATTATCAGAAGGCCTTAAAATTTGTGCAAATTTTACGCCTGTAAGCGATATATTTAGATGTGCTTGTTTAATTACGTCACAACCGATTATAAAGTCATAATTTGTACAAGAATTTGGTACAACAGAAATAGTAACAGGAAAAATTTGATCATCGATAGTAATTTCAGAATCAAAAGTTCCTATCACATTAATTCGCGAAAAACCAAAACCTGTTAATAATGTGTTGGTTTGTTTCAGTGGCGGTGCATCTATATTTATGTAAGTAGAATTTCTTAATAGTGTTAAATTGCTGCCTGTGTCTACTAACCCGTTAAGTTTACGCCCAAAAAATTGTTACGTCTTTACACATATTAATAGGAGAAGGCAATTCATGCACAGCATTTACACCAGAAGGTGGTGTAGAAGTGTTATTTAAATTAGCTCGTCGGCATTCAAATGATTTGTGACCATAAAGATTACATGAGAGGCATCTGGGGCCACGTGAATGATTAGGACAAGATTTTGATAGATGACCTATATCATTACAATTAAAACAACGTAGGGGATTTCTAGCTGCATCGGAAGCGTTAAATTTTGTGGGTTTTCTTTGGAAGCTTTGTTGTTTTAAATCGTGTCCTCCGCTTTCATATGAATGACGAAAATTCGGTGAATTAGAGTTATGTATTCCCATGTTTTTAATGACAGTTTTATAGGTACGAAATTTCTGCTTAAATTCGGAAAATGAGGTTGCACCATAGAGGATAATTTTATATGAACAGAGGCCCATCAATTCCATTAATGACGTACTGGATAATTGATGCTTCGTCAATTTTTGAATCACATCTATTTGCTAATTCACGCATGGAATTAAAATATTGCATTAAAGTCTCGGTTTTATACATTTTCCTTTTTTCTAATTCACGGTGAATTTCTATTGAAGTGACTGAATCCGAAAATTCTTCAATTAAAGCTTTTTTGAATGACTCGTATGTATTTAAATTTCTTTGTGAAAAAGAAATGATTTAGCAGTTCTACATACTAGACGTTTCGCGAAAATTAATTTTTGAGAAGAACTGATAGCTGGGAATAAATCAAAATTTTCTTCAACATCGCGAAAGAAACTATTTACAGAATAAAAATCTTCCCCGGTAAATTTTCTACTAGTCGCCGAAATATCCCGCAATAAAGTCCAAAACTGGGTATTCATCTCTATAAGGGAAGCTTCGTTTGAATAGGGAGGAAGAGTATTTTGTGTACAAAGAGATTAAACGTTTTGATGTACCGGCATGAAAGAATAACCTTGAACAATGGGTAGGGAAGCCTTACTGACCGGATGTTGAAAAGGGGAATGCTGGTCTGTCCCTTCCGATGAAAAATTCCTGTCTAACGTGATTCGTTTTTGAAACGTGGTTTTTGAAACTACGTTTTCGCCTTTAGAAAAGGATGTCTCCGAATTATTTAATGTTAATTGAAACTCATCTAAGTTCGTCAAAGCTTTAAATATACTATTGCATAAATTTTGCTCATTTGTTTCTACGTCTAAATGCAATAAATTAGCGACTGAGATAAAATCAGGCAATGAGAATTCGGTTAAAAATTTTTCTTTGTGTTCTTCAACTCTAAACTCTTTAGGGAATGTAGAAAGATTTCTTATTTTATTTCGCGAAGAATGGTCAAATTCGGGGAATCCTAATATAGAATTTAATGTTTTTACAGCACGAGTTGTACCACATTTCAACGAATTAGCAATTATAGGAATATCGCCTAATTTAATATTTTTACAGGACATCTTAATATACAAAATTAATCACTTTGAAAATTTATGGACGGTGCAAGGTTGTAATCAAAATTTCCCTATCACACTCTGAGTTAAAACTACTAAATACAGTAATTTTAAAGCCAAAATAAACAAAAAAAATACGTTTAATTAAATTTTGCCTACCTGGGGTTGGGGAGCAGTCCGTACAATAAATCCAAAACCAGTTGAAGCACTAAATGAATCCAAGAAAAAAGAAATTCCAACAGCAACACGTTTTTACGCTTTTTGCAATGTAGCGTCCACTGAAGAAAAATATTAACGCGTCTTAAAAATTTTCTCTCGTCTAGAGGAGATTTTCCTTAATATGCAAGAGAAAGGTCGAGCCCCCAAAATATGGGAAAATGACTACAACCTAAGGATGATAAATGCTTTATTGATGAAATATCTGAATTAAACTAGACAGCAAAGGAGAACGTCTTTCTCCTACGTCTAAATCTTAGCGTCCCTAACGTCCGTCTACATATTTTCTCGTGTGTCCTTTTAGTCGGACATTCCTGACGGGGTGGGACGTCAGTGTGGACTGCCCCACCCTAAGTACAGGGGGAGGGGTTGTCCATTGCACATATCCAACCCTACATATATATTTAATGAAATCTATAGAAGCTCTGACGCTGAGAGGCAGAGAGAAAAAGAACGTCAAAGTGAAAAATCTAAGTGTTTTACCACTTAAGCCAGATGTGAGAAGTACCTCTGATTTTATGAGTGTACTTGAAAGTTAATGCTGACATATAGGGCTATTAAATCTAACGATCTGGAATTAGACATGTTTATTGGCTAGGCCATATATTCGCAAGAAATAAATGGGTGATTAGTTTGATACTTAAAGATGAAATGAAAAATATGAGTTAAGTGCTAGATAGGGAATTTAATTTTTAATCTAATTTTATTATCTATATACATATATATATATAATGTAAGTTAATTAACTTATATGCTATTTTTCCACTCTTCAGTATGAACAAAATCTTTACCAAACGTTTCTATCTAATGCCACATCGCCAGTAAATCTGCAAATTCGTAATTCGTGTGGTGGAAATTTGGAGAGGGGTTTCGAGCTCAGGCATGATCCTGATCACTTGACCATGGATCAGAATTACGAGATCTGCCGCCTATAGCTCTCGTGTTGCTTTATGGAGCAACGTTGATAGACACTCATTCACTCGTAACACATCGCCTTATCAAATAACAAACTTAGTCAATGAGCATTTATTTACGTTGTACTTTAAGGCTTCACCGTTATGCTATTGGCGACGGACTTAATAAATTTGAGACTTAATTAAGTGACAAGGCAGATACCTGCGCTGGGACACCTCACTCTCTTAACTTTCACATCAAGGCTAAAATGAGGATTTTCAGCCACAACAAATTGAATGCCATGAATTTTTGAATGTGACCATTCGCCACTGTGGCCATTTCAAATAATAAAATAAGATATTTTAATTCTTCTCATTTTTTCGTCTACTGGCACAATTTTGCTTAGTTTACCTAAATTTACCACTTTTTCAATTCTTACTATTAGTTCGCAATCTCCCTATATGTATATATAATTCAAATTTTCAATCATTAATAAAATACTTTCTATTCATCCATTCAAGTTCAAATACATTTTTTTAAAACTTGTAGTGGAAGTAGTCACTTGATGTTAATACAGTATTTTCAAATATTAATTCATTGGTTAAGCTTAATTAATGAATAAATAATAACAAACAAAAATAATAGTCCAATACCATATATAAAATGATAATCACTCTTAGTGTCCCAGTAGCGTTGGACTTCGCATCTAAAGGTCGTGGTCTCGAATCCAACTTGGAATGGACTAATTTCTGCGAATGTGATTTCTTTTTTTCTATAATATTTTAATAGAATAATTAAATTTAAGGAATAAATAAACAGTAACAAACCAAAAATAATAGTCCAAAACCACATATAAAAAGGAAAATCGCTCCTTGCGTCCCAGTAGCGCAATGGATAGCGCTTTGGACTTCTCATCCAAAGTCGTATGTTCGAATCACACCTGGAATGGCCTAATTTTTGAGAATATGATTTCCTTTTACTATACTATTTTATTGGAATAATTAAATTTAATTAATAAATAAAAAGTAACAATCAAAAATAATAGCCCAATACCATATATAGAAAGGAAAATGGAAAATTACTAGGAAAATCGCTTTCTATTTTGCCACTTAATATTGTGATTCTGTCATATGTATATACATATTTATATTAATTGTAACTACTTAATAAAAAGTAACTAAAATGAAATGTTTCTTTGTTGACCTAAGTAGGAATGAAATTAAAAAAAAATTTATATTACTTGTTAATCGGTAAGTCAGCTTAACTAATGTAGATAAATTGTTTGATAACAATAATTTAAGGGTCTTTTAAAGGCCACGCATGTCATAACCACGTCCATGACTGTATTACATGTATGTGTGAACTGACTTTTATTGATACGATTTATCTCATTTTTTTATTTATAATTTCAGAAGGAAGGGCTTGCCACTTACTAATCAGTTCTAATGCCTTTCTCCCAACTGATGCAATCTAATATCCTTACGGATTTTCTCGAACTTTTAAAAATAAGTCTTTGAAACGGATTAGAAATGAAGATCATAAAAATATGACTACGGTTCTTTGTCATTACGAAGCAATATGTTGACCTCAAGTTTTGATCCTTATGAAATAAAAATCTTAACAGAGGAGTTTAATTCTTTCTTTCGTAACTTTGCATTAAAGTCAAAAATTTATTTTAAAAAAGTAAATCTTTACGTGTATGTGCGTGTTTGATTTCGTGCACCTAAATCGTTTATACTTCTCCGTATTCAATTATTAGATCATAGTTTATTTGAAATTTTTATTATATGAAGTAAAAGTTATGTATATATATTTATTATATGAAAAAAGGAAGTTTTTGAAAAAGAAATGAAATTTAAAATCTGGAAGACATAACTAAAGCTTTGGTTTTTATTTTAAGGTATACTACTTCGTTAAAAACTTGAACTTCCGAGAAAAAAATAATGATTTCCTTAACTAATCAAATTAAAATATTTATTACCTTAGATTTCTCTAAAACTGCCTTTCTTTTGCAACCACAAAACCTAGAAATGGAATTATTAGCCTTTTTTAATGAGAGACACACACACACAAAAAACGGAAGTTGCTATTTCGAAGCCAGAAGTCGTCTCATTACCATTTTTTTCAAAAAATATTTACTGCCTATAGTTTTCTAAGAGACATTAAAAACATAATAAAATACTTTACGAAATCTGATACATTTATTTTTCTTTCCAATGTATTTTTTGCTTTTGAATCCATTTTCAGAAAAATGTACTTTTTAGGGAAAAATTGCTATTTTTTATATGTGATAACTGAAAAGATATTTCATCTGTTTTTGTGTATACAATTTGGCAGAAATATGTTTTTCATACTGTTCTTTAGAGTCTGAACTAGAATTTTTGAAATATATAACTTAGAAGATTTATTCACATTTTAATACATCAGAGTATAGAAATTTTAGCAGGTTTTTTTAGGTTATTATTTCAATTCATAGTAACTCTGAAAATAATCAAAATTCTTCAAAAATCTTAGTTTCAACTATGCAGAGAAGTCTTTGCTGTGTGTATATAGATAAAGTATTATTATATAAGCATTTTTCATAAAAGAAGAATATTTTAAAGATGTGTTATATGTGTTTTTCTTTCTTTATTTTTTCCCTGAAAAATTACATTACATTTTTTTTAATTTAATATTTTTAAAACAATTTAATGCGTATATTTTAATTCAGGTGACACTAAATATCAATGGAAAGCTATCATTTATATTTCGTATACCTTAAGCCAGCGTTTCTCAATCTGTGAGAACTCTACGGGGGAGGGGGCGAGCTTATTAACGAGTCGAAAACAAAAGATTATTGTAACAAATAATCAAACAAAAGTAAAAACAAGTAAACAAACAAAATACATTCTGATCTAATAAAAAATAAAATTAACATTTACTCTAATTTAATACACTTATAAATATATCAGAACTGCACAATGTATTTTATAATTAATTTAACAGTACTAAATTTTAAGACAAAGTTTATTAAATACCAGTGACTCCGTGGGCTTGTCATATGTGAAATTATACACAAAAATTTACACTTATCTTGATAATTTATTTGTACGGCTTGTAAATAATCCTTTAACAGCCGATTTAAAAGTTACGCAATTCACTTCTCAATGCCGCTGTTTTTTACGTAGGCGAGCTTATATGTTTTTAGGGGGGGAGAAGAGGAATTAATAAGGAAATACTCTGATATAAGTAAATGCTTCGCAAACACTGACAAGGTCCTTATATTGCATTTTAAAGTCTTCGAAATAATTTTGTGGACAGCAGTACAGAGAAAAGATCGTACTTCGGAAAGACGTATTTATGCGTCTGGGACATTTAACGTACCAGTTGAATGAGACGAATATATGCCCCTGTGGCACTTAAGAGGATAAAATCGTATGTTAGCTTTAGCGTCACTAAGTATAGTACTTTTGAATTCAATGTATTGTTATTTGTACGGAGGGGGTGGATGAACATTGGGTAGAAAATAGTGTAAGTTTGAAAAGAACTCCCTTAAACCATGACTCTGTTCTAAATGAATGTGAATTTGGTCCACTATAAGAAAAAAAAATTCCTTTTTATTTGTTTTTTTTAATAAGAGTATATTTTCAATAAATATTCATCACATAGCGAAACTAGCATTAGGATTTAATTAAAATAAATTTTGCACAGAAAATATATCAGAAAGCTCGACCATATTACGATCAAAAATAATTATGTAAACTCCTGTTACAATAAGTCTTTTTGTATAAAATATTCACAGAAGGGATGTATAAAAATTTAATGCATTTGTTAAAAAAGTCATAGTATTTTTGTATAAAGGTTTTTATTCCATAGATTTGTATTAATAGAAAATATTAATTCAGAAGACGTTATAACGGATAAACAAATGATCAAATGAAAATTTACGACGTGTGTGGAAATAGTTCTCAACAGCATATATTACCCATTAATATGCATGGCTTTAAAAAAAAGGTCAATTAGCAGTCCATTGCTATTTTGAAAGCGATACAGGCGTCTAAGTAAAGTTTATGGTTATATACCGTGTTTCAAATCGTTTGATTCAAATGAAAGTGATTTTCAACTTCGGAAGATATTAGCCAGTATTTCGCTTTGGATGTTTCCCTAAACAGCACTATTGATCCGACAACACACAAGGGTGGGGGGGGGGAATGCAAACATCCAATCCAATATCACATTCTCTACATTCCTACAAACATTGATTTTAATATGGTGGTGCTGAATCAAACGAAATGTCCAGATTAAAATTACATTTTGTTATCGGTTCTGTTTCAGTAAGGTAAGCTGTGTATGTGGACATAAAATCTTTGTATTTAAAATTGACAGTTCTAAATTTCTTTGTTAACGATTTATTGTGTTCGCTTTTGGTTCATTGAACTTTTTCTCCTTGATAATCACTAAATTATTATTTTATCTTCCTGGATGTTAGAAATTTCTTTGTGTGATTGTTCGTGTTCTAAAAAGTTTAAAAATGTCAGTTATTAATTTTTTAAAAAACAAATTAATATATATTTAAAACATTTTAATGTAACTCTCAGTGCAATTATTTAAAAATATGGACATATTAGAAATGCCTTTATCCAAAATAGAATTTCATCGAATAAGAAATACCTTCTCTCGATTGCAATAAAAGTGTCGTAAAGCTGTCAAGAAGAGAAAAAATACGTACCCCCTCTTTTTAATTATTGAATCATTAAACATTTACTATCTATCATGAGAGAATTTTTTCACTTTATCATCTAAAATATCACAAATAAAAATACAGTCGAATCTCTATATAACGAACCTCTATATTGCGAATTTTTCTATATAGCGAACTTTTTCCTGGAACCTTGAACATTTCACAAATTTCTTCGTAAAATAACCTCTCTATAGCGAAGAGAATTTTCTATACAACGCACTTTTTCTTTTTTGATTCAATTTTTGTTCTCCCTTTTTTAAAAGTATTTCTGAAAAAATTTCAAGTTATTCTTTCTTTAATACATTTTATGTTGGTCATAAATCTTGAACTGGTTTTATTAGATCCTAACTCGCAGAGAGCAATAGAGTTCTCGACGTTTCATCCAAGAAGTGCAACCTTTAAACCCCATTGCCTAGTTCACTAAAAGCATCTTCGATATCCTCTTTCATCCTCAGTCGAGTTGTCCCGTGTCCCCGTGTTCTAATTATAAAATAATGTATATTTAATATTACTTGTATGCTTTAAATTATAAAATGTCCTTTTCATTTAAAATTATTTTCTTATTATTGAAAATACAGTGAATTCTTCAACATTGCTTTTTCTTGTTTTCCTTGCAGTTTTTTTTCTTTTTTTTTTGATGGATAAGATATAAAAAATAAACATATATATATATATATATATATATATATATATATATATAATATATATTTAAAAAAAAAAAAGCCTTGAATAATTATTTTTTTTATGGTATATAGTGTGTGTGTAACGAACTTTTGAATTTAAAATTTGTATTAAACCATTAAAATATAGTCGTTTTTTACGAACCTAAACGAATATATTCCCTGGAACATTTTACTATAAAAGATGAACCTCTATATAACGAATTTTCCATATAACGAATTTTTCAAAAATTTTTTTTTTAATAATTTTTTTGGTGATCCGGGATTTATCGATTTGCGTTAAATAGAGCTCCGACTGTAAATTTCTTTTGAGTTGATTTATTTTAAAATAATTACTTAACTTAAAAATGATTTAAAATTTATCAGAACATGACGAATCTCCATTTAACGAATTTCCCACACGCGATTTCGTTAAATAGAGGTCCGACTGTAAAAGTTGATTTATTTTAAGGTTAACTTAATTCAGTGGCGCAACAGCCCATGTGGGCCAAGACCTACTGTGCCCGTCTCAGTATACGTGATCTTGGGCTCTGAGGTGCATGAGCAGA